GCAGGGGTGGGGAACAGGCTGCCCAGCCCTGTGGTTGAAGCCGATACCCTGGCTTCTCTCCAGACACAGCTGGGTGAGCTCCTCCAGTCAGGACAGGAGGCTCTTCTGTACACAGAGGGTGGTGGGGGTGGGGAACGAGCTGCCCAGCCCTGTGGTTGAAGCCGATATCCTGGCTTCTCTCCAGACACAGCTGGATGAGCTCCTCCAGTCAGGACAGGAGGCACGTCTTTACGCAAAGGGTGGCAGGAGAGTGGAACAAGCTGCCCAGCTGCACTCTTGAAGCCGATACCCTGGCTTCTCTCCAGACACAGCTGGGTGAGCTCCTCCAGTCAGGACAAGGGGGGGCTCTTCATTACACAGAGGGTGGTGGGAGTGGGGAACGAGCTGCCCAGCCACGTTGTTGAAGCCAACAACACCCTCGCTGCTGTCAAGACACAGCTGGATGAGAGGCTCCAGTCCGGACAGGAGGGGGCTTCTTTACACAAAGGGTGGTGGGAGTGGGGAACAGGCTGCCCAGCAAAGGTCGTTAAGTGACATTCAATCAGCTCCTTGTTACTAATCAGATTAGATGGTCTCATGGCCTCCTCTCAGTATAGTAACTATTCTTAGGCAGATGAATCCCACTGGACTGATCCATTTTCTAATGCACTCTGCGAGCATCTTTTGCCTTGCAGCGATCTGCAGGGACCCCCATCAGGAGCTGGCCAGTTTCTTGGAAGGGCAGTAAGGTTGGCAGTGAGCTCACAGTCTCTCTTGAGAGACTCCAGTTGTTCTTGGCCAGATGTTTCCCGTCTGTGGGAGCCGTTAGTTCTGCGGTTTGCTGGGAAAGCAGTATATGGAAACATTATTCCCCACACGAACATGTGACACCTCGAGAAGCCGAGAAGACCTATTTAGAGACTATGAAGGTCATTAATCCAGAAGCAGCCGAGATGAAGAAGGCGGCGACACATATTCAGAGACATAAGGGATTTAAGCCCGACACATTTTTTTTTAAGCCATAACGACGGGGAAACACGACTTCGCAAGCAAAATCACAAACGAGATCTTCTGAGAAACACCCCGAACAACGGAATGAAAAAGGAAACTAAGGAAGGGCTTTGGGTATCTTCAACACAGAAAGCGAACTGAACTTTACGTGCATCGTAACGTGGTTCTCCTTCAAACAGTCCACAAAGCACAGCACCGGTAAAAAAGGCGTTTGGGAAGATAAGGACCCAAACTTTTTTGAGCTGATTCGACATCTGACGAGAGCGGTGTTTTCGGACGGCGTGAGGTGACCAACCTGTTTTTAATATCAAATCCAGCGTCCGTTCG